TAATTATATATCAGAGAGGAAGGGCAAGGGAGAAATAGAAACATCAATGAAGAGAGAGAATCATTGATCGGCTGCCTTCTGGACGCCCCCTACTGGGGATGGAGCCCGCAACCTGGGCATGTGCCCTTGACCGAGAATCAAACCGTGACCACCTGGTTCATAGATTGAAGCTCGACCACTGAGCAATGCCGGTTGGGCTGGTGTTAGCAGTTTAATGTCACACAGTTCTAATCAACCACTGGGAGCTACATCAGTCTTCGTTTTGGGGTCACATGAATGAAGAAAACCTCAGTGTAAGGGCCTGGTGTTCATTCCTTCTACCCAGAGGGAGGGCAGCATCTCACACTGTGGAGCCGGAGGCCACTGGCGGGGCCGGGCTGTGCGGACATTTACCTGAAAAGGGTCTGCACGTTGACGATGGTCTTGGCGTCGGCCATGTAGTCCTCCTCGGCGCTCATGGTGCTCTCCTTGTCCACGACCACCATGTTGGCAGCGAACGTCACTCCGCACCTGAGTAAGTCATCGAGGCTTTGGCGGAAATCAACAGAGAAAAAGGCCCCTTGAGTAAGTCCCAGGACGGGGAGTGGCGCTCACACATGGCGACTGACCCCCGTGCTAGCACCGGTCACCCCCACGGGTGGCTTCCTCCGAGGTGCGCCCTGGCCGGTGTGCGTGGGGATGAACATTTGGAGTTCCCTCTATTGAGCCAGAGTCTAACTTAAAGCTGATCTGAGAGCTGTTGCATGTTGGAGCTCTTTATGTTTCATTAGATCTCAGCTGTCTCAAAGCATATGCATTAAGGATATTTAATAAGACTTATTAATTATATTAATAAAACATGGACAACACCTATTTGGCAGTCATAGGGTAATAGCACATGTTAACATTTTGTCTGTACAGTTAACATACTATTTTAAAGACACGTGTCTATTTTTCATCGGTAAAATGCTTTTGTGAAGAGTGAAAATGAATGCTGATGTTCATTGAGATGGTCGAGCCTGATAAAGTTATATAAATCTGGGAAGTGTTTCTTTTAAAATTTTTGTTATTTCTTTCTGTAGAGCTATATGTTAGAGGTTGGAACCATAAATACATAAATAGTGCTACTCAAGACTCGTGTTTAGTTAGCCTAAAGCAGTGATGGCGAACCTGTGAAACGTGTGTCAGAGGTGACACGCGAACTCATTTTTTTGGTTAACTTTTCTTTGTTAAATGGCATTTAAATAGATAAAATAAATATCAAAAATATAAGTCTTTGTTTTACTATGGTTGCAAAGATCAAAAAATTTCTATATGTGACACGGCACCAGAGTGAAGTTAGGGTTTTTCAAAATGTTGTCATGCCGAGCTCAAAAGGTTCGCCATCACTGGCCTAAAGTTTTGGAGTGGGTGGCTGATTAACCTGATTTCTTTGGTTGCATTAAACAAGGGTGCTAACCTCACCTACACGTTCTTGCAGGTTATGATAGAGTCAGCCTTTTCCCAGATCACCGTAAACACTTTGCCTCGCATTGAGTGAGAAGAAAATGTTACCCTGAAAGCTGAAACTAGAAAACCGCTCTCCTGTTGCCTCTGTTTCATATGAACTAGAAAAACAGGCCTGAATTGGCTAAGAGACCATACGCGAGTGAGCGTAACAGGGTGCTCGGTACGGAGTTGCTGGAAGTCAGAAGAATCGGGCTGACTGATTTGCACAGCTTCTGACTTAAAACAGCAAGTGTGGAACTTAAAGAGCAGCAGTTCCTTTCAGATTCATCAACGGCACAGTCAGTTGCCTGGAGATCTTTTCCAAGTGCGCGATGGTGGTTGAATTAGCCGGGTCGGAGGGAAGTGTTTTTCCCCCACGGGAAGGCAGGATTTCTTACTCTGTGATCAGGTGAGAGGGTATTACCAAAGCTTTGAGTCCAAGATGCCCAGGAGTGGTCCAGAAAAAAGACTGCACTTGAATCAGGAACAATGTTCTGTGGCAGAGATTTTATGGCTAAAACTGTGGAAACAGAATGTTATTCCAAATAAATTTTCTATGGTGAGAGGGGCCAGGACCCTATCATCCAATCAATATGATGACTGAGCAAAATCCCTACCAATACTTTTCTTAGATGTTCTTTTTATCTAGGAAATCCATCATAATTGTTCTTACATCTATTAAAGTGTTAAAGAAAGAAAGAAGCCAGTGAAAAATGAATGTGGCCTGGTCCCTATGGACTGTAAAAGTTATGCCTTAGATCATATGCCTTCAACCCACCTTATTCTCATTTTAAATCACGTTCTGCTCTTAAAATCTTTTCTCCACCATTAAAAATAAAGATCTCCATTATTATTATATAGGAGAAGGAAAAGAGAGTTGGGGGAAGGTGAGCTTGACTACAAAAAGATGTATGGGTAGAAGTTATGATAGGAAACATGACTATTTCATCAGCAATAAATCAATGAAATTGAAATTTGACCAAAATTCCCCTAGGAGAGAACCTATACTGAAAAGCTAGTCCCTATGCCTTAAAATAGTTAATTCCACACTCAACATACTGGCTGCTGCTGTTCACATGTCATCTTGGCAAATAATGTTAGTAATTATTATTAAATATGAGTTTAAATGTATTGAAACAATTTATAAAAATCGAATGGCATTTCTGCACCCTGTAGAAACATTTTTGTTATGTTTTAACTTTATCATTTTTATATTAACTTAATATTGCATTATATTCTTGCTTCCTTTTTTTAACTAGGCTGCCAAATTATTCTTTTTTAATTATTTATTGTTTATAGTATTACATGGGTCTCTTTTTTTCCCCCATTGCCCCCCTATCCCCCACCCCAAGCACAAGCCCTCACCCCCCTGGTGTCTGTGTCCATTGGATTTGCTCATACGCATGCATACAAGTCCTTTGGTTGATCTCTTACCCCCTCACCCCACCCTGCCTTCCCTCATAGGATGTACAGTCTTTTGGATGCTTCTATGTCTCTGGTTCTATTTTTGTTCTTATCATACTTTGTCCCCACACCCTGCCAACAAAGTTACCTTCAGCGTGGCTGTTTTGCACAGTTCGGCCACCAGATGGCAGCCGAAGAGAAAAGTCAGTATGGATGAAAAAAGTCCCAGACAATGGAATGGCAAAGCTTCCCTTTCTAGCCTGCTCTAGGACTTCCTTTCAGGGAGAACTAGAAGGTGAATGTTAGAGTCTAAAGGAGTGTCTGTGAGTGTGTTGTAAGTCATTTGAAAGGTTTTTAGATTGTGTTTTTTAAGAAAAATCTCAAACAGAAGCTAAAGAGTATACTATTTAGTGGACCCCCAGGGACCATTCACCCAGCTTCAATAATTATCAGCTTCAGTAATTATTCTCCTTCATCTCTCATAGGAATTAGATGCTCTCAGTTCTTCTCACATACATACTGTTACAGAAGAAGAATTCGTGTCAGAGGTACATAGGCAAAGACGGATGGGCAGTTCATTCTCCTTTAAATAGCCTGTTCTTCGCAAGAATTCTAAGTGAATACTATCACTTCAGAGAAACATTACTAGTGACAAAATGTGGGACATGTTCATGAGTTTAAGTAATTTTCATATATCTATCTACATTTTAGTTCCTTGGTATTATGACAACTGATCATGTAAGTTTTATTATTGTAGAGTGCAGGCTAAATATATGTCACTCTGGTCTTCGATGTACCCACAGCCAATAAGTACTTTCAAAGTTACAGAACTATTTTTTTCAACGGGGCAAAATGTAAGCATAAAACTCTCAATTGAGAAAGTTAAACATTTTATTTTGAAGGCTCTGGTTGACATTTTTTTAAATAAAAAATTAACACATGTTATAGGAATATTAGTTGTTATTATCTTTTAGTTCTTATAGTTTTATAATGTCATATTCATGTGTGTAAAATAATTAGTATTTTCATATGGAAGCATTGCACACAGTTGACATTTTAATTAACAAATTTTTAGAAATTATGAGCTCGGATATATGTTACTAGAATAAATTCTTGAAGAAATGCTCCAATTTATAAGTCTGACTTAAAATGAGCATTTCTGAATTATTTGGAAGGTTTCCTGAAGTTAAGATAAAGGTATTGATGCATCACAACGCTGAACCTTTGGGTGTTCCTCAACCAGATATCAAAAGCAATAATGCTGTTGCTGTAGACAACACAGAACTGAGACAACTTTAGAAACTTGGCAAACATCAACAAAATCGACATGCAGCCAAATTTGCTTCAGTTCAACCACAGAGGACCGCTAGGAAGGTGGACTACAAGATGAACACCACACAAGACCGTAAGCTCTACATGCAGGATACGTCATCTACGTGAAACTACACGGCCAAGTCCACTCATCATGCAACACGGCCACAGCACAGGACGAACCACGGGACACCACACCAGTTAGCGTGCCACAGACTTTGTCACCTACTTGTCAATAGAGCCCACCATGTAGTAAACCATTGGGAACCAACAGATTGCATCCAGAAAATGTATATCTGGCCTGAGTGGCAGATGGGTTACAAAATGAAACACAAGGTCACAACAGGGGCAACGCCACCAGGGAAAGGAAGTGGACTTACTTTGCATTTCCAAAACCAACACCATTGACAAGATTAATTTTAGGTGCTTCCCCCCACCCTTAATAGTCATTAGCAAGTGTCATTTATACGCTTGATGAGTAACATAATGCAATCAGAATTATAAAAACAAATGTTCTGCTTTCTGAATCAGAAACATGATGGCAGCTGATTTCTTTGTAATATTGAAGGCCACATTGCAAAAGACCAGCCTCTGCAGGGCAACAGGCACCTCATTGTTGCAGAAAGGACTCCATGAAACTTCCTGGAACATGATTTATTGGTCTTTCGTTTTTTGTTTCCTCATTTTTGACCAAAGGAACAGAGGACAGCAAATAAAAACGTTCATTACCACTTTCGGGAAGTACTCGGGAGCTAATACATTTTACAACCGGCCCAGTCATCCTAACCCTTTGAAAGAAAATCAAACCCCATAAAAATTATCTAACGGGCAATGAATAGTGGATTGCAAAATCTCAGTCATCAGGAAAGCAAAGGAAATTTTTAGTGCAAAATAATCCAAAATTAAAATACAACTCTGTTTCTAAAAAAACTTGCCCAGCCGGTGGCTCAGTGGTTGAGCGTCGACCTATGAACCAGGAGGTCAGGGTTCGATTCCCGGTCGGGGCACATGCCCGGGTTGCGGGCTTGGTCCCCAGTTGGGGGTGTGCAGGAGGCAACCCATCCATGATTCTCTCTCATCATTGATGTTTATCTCTCTTTCCCTCTCCTTTCCTCTCTGAAATCAATAAAAATATTTTTTAAAGAAGAACAATGTATTTTTTGCATATATCAAAAGCCTATAAACTAGGTAATACCATATAGTTGAGAAAACAATGAACTATGAATTGCATAGAAGCTTATAGTATATTATGGAGACATCTCTGTTTTGAGAAATTTCTGTTGATAAATTTCAAAGGCAGAGATAAGGCCAGAGTCTGACCTCATCCAGTTTATCCTGAAATTTGGATCACTTTGGAATTTAAGAGGAGAGTTGGAGGATCCCAAATATGCTATTGATCTCAAGGCCATCTGCTACTAATTTTGAATCACAGAGAGGGATATTATACTTTTAGGATGTAATAAATTTGACAGTAGCATTCAGTGACCTATATTTACATTTGCAGAAGGATTTTGCAATGCTCGAGTAGTCGAATTTCACAAAGTATATCAATCCAACCTTTTCAAAGCTCATGAACACGGTGAAGCATGCCTTATTCATGTTGTTATAAGATGTACGCTCTGACAGTGGAAGAATCAAAGTCATGGCACAATATAAAAGATGGATCATAAATATGCTTCTCTGATAATTAACGGTTCCTTAGAAAGACAACAAAAGTGTCCAGTTTGGGCAGAGTTCTTCTAGGCTAGTTGATTAATTAGAGAAAATGACTGTAATTATTTTGGTGGCATGTGTCCCACTGGTATAGACTGATGACCACATGCAAAAATAGTTTTAAGTAATGAGCTCAGTATTCCAGCGATGGTTTAAATCGTATTTGTGAAATATAATCAAATCCAGTGATTATTTTGTAGCATAGCACTGATTATATCTCCTAATGAATCACGTGCCATAATGTGTCTGATTTAAAATATTCTGAGCAAATTGAAAAAAAATTATTTTTTAGATAATATTAAAAACTCTTCATCCTATTCTTGTATTTACTTGTAAACATACTTACGGGTTATCCAACAGCAGCACTATGGGGTTGAGTTCTTTCTTTGGTCTATAATAAGCCCTGAGAGGAACAATAAAATTATACAATCCATTTCCAGCTGTTTCAGCTGCAACTATAATTAGTTTATTTTTGAATCCATAGGCTTTTGCGTCTTCATAGTAGTTATGCTGGCAACTCTACAGGAGAAAAATCATGCAAAAGAAAAGCCAATTTTATACCCTGCTAAAATTTGATGAAAAAAATGTTAAGATACATGGCTATGTAAAATTAATCTAACCCTAGTAAATCTTTTATTTTCTAACAAATTTGAAAATAGTTACATTTTTCTATACCCAATTTTCCAGCATGTTTCAGGAAATAATGTGTGTTGATCAGACAAATAAATTGCAGGTATATAGCTTGATGAAGAATAAACAACACCCACATACACATGTTCTATTGTAAAGTAGACTTACCACTACATCTACATTTAAAAATTATCCCAATGTATATGTCTATCAAAACAGCACATTATATACTGCAAACATATGCAGTTTTTACTTGTTGGTCATACTTCAGTGAAGCTGCAAAAAATCATCTACCCATGACTTTCATCTCCACAAGTATGGTAATAATATAATTATAGAACCATGTAGCCCTAGCATGGAATACCTGAAGGGATTTTATTGTTGTTGGATATGGAGAGTTCACAGGTTCAAGATTCAGACACCTCTGTTTTGCTCTTTAAAAACATGACTGACAGACTGGCTGGCATGGCTCAGTGGTTGAGCATTGACCTATGAACCAGGAGGTCACAGTTCTATTCCTGGTCAGGGCGCATGCCCGGGTTGTGGGCTCAATCCCCAGTAGGGGGCGTGCAGGAGGCAGCTGATCCATGATTCTCTCTCATCATGGATGTTTCTATCTCTCTATCCCTCACCCTTCCTCTCTGAATATATATATATATTTCTGACAGATTCATTGGGTAATTTGGATAACTTAGAGCAGTTAAGAAAGTAAAATTCACCATTTTCTGTATTATATTTACTTTCAAAAAGATAATATTCTTCGAACCCATTTTACTCTGTACGAATCATTTACCATATGGACTGCACAAGAGGATTTGCATGTATGTCATTAGGAAATAGCATGACGTAACTTTGCAGAAAAGCACAGTGACAGGTGCTTACCTTGTCTAGTCTTAAGCAGCAAAAGGGCACTTTTTCGTGAAGGAGATGGCAAAACGTGGGCGAACTTCCTATGTATGGAGAGTAGGGGGGGTAGCCTTTAGCGTACCTGTAATGCAGTATGAGATGCTGAATCACCTGGAATAGCACATGCGAAGCTGGACTGTTAAGTTACAGCTACGATCCTCCATGTTGATAGAGTGAGATACAGTGACTTTATGATGCAACTACAGTTTGATAAGGAAATAGATTAGGACCAGGGAAGGGGACTAGGGCCCATGTACCAAACCTGGCCCATCGCCTGCCTGGTTTTCTGAATTAAAAAAAAAAAAAATATATATATATATATATATATATATATATATATATATATATTTTATTTAAAGTATTACAAATAGTAGAACATATGTCTCCTTTTTCCCCTATTGACCTCCCCCTGGCCTCCCCCACCCACCCGGCACATGCCCTCCCCCCCCCAGTGTCTGTGTCCATTGGTTATGCTTATATGCATGGTTTTTATATTTTTAAATGGTTGGAGAAAAGATCAAAAGAAGAATAATATTACATGTCACATGAAAATTATATGAAATTCAAATTTCAGTATCTGTAAGTATTTTTTTAAAAAAAACCCAAAACACAGCCAACCAAGTCATTCATTGTCTCTGAGTACTTTCATGCTTCAAATGCAGACTTGAGTAACTGCTACAAAGACCATGTGGTCCATAAAGTATAAAATATTTACTAGCTGGTTCTTTCCAAAAAGGGTTTGCCAATCCTCAGTTTAAAACCAACAATTACAAAAATGCTGCTTATGTCACGGAAATACTGATTTAGGTATTTTTTTCTTTAAGGATAGAAGATCCATTTGAGAAAACTGAACCCGGAAATACACAGGGTGGGGCAGAAGTAAGGTTTACAGTTGTTCATATAGAAAATAATACGATAATTAATAAATAATGATACAAGAATAAACTCTGTGTTTCTTACTTTGGGCCCGCCCTGTATGTTTCAGTCAGAAATTTGAGGGTTTCAAATACTTTATAGTCAAGGGAGATACTGCCCCGTAGGAAGGCTTTTGGGTAGCAATATGTAGGATTGATTCAAGATGTCTAGTAGGTATGCACATTAGTTCCCGTGGCAGGCACCACCCCAGTAAATCTTAGAGAACCTCAGCATACTCTAAGTTTGAGGACATTTTTTCATCCGGTGTAGTTTCATCTTCTGATTGGTCACTGAGAAGGTCACATGTTTGAAGGGATGATGCATCTGCAACCTCTAGAACAGGGGCGATGCTGGGTCTTCGGATTTCTTTGATTCCCTCCGTAGGAAGAGTCAGGGTAGGGCCACTGGCCGACCGACAGCTTGTGTCTTGCAAGTCGATAGCCACAGTGCCTAACACAACGGAACATGAGAGTCCATCAGAGCATTTGCCACTGTGACGACGTAGCCATCATTTAATGATCAAGGTGAAGGAAAAGGTAATCAGTTTAACCAGAAAATCTTGTTTATCCTTTCATTTCAAAGGTGATTTCCATCTTTATCATGTGGGCATTTTTGCCCACCCTGGTAAAAAATACTGTATTTGTATAAATATGGATTTGCTAAGTCTGTCTCTATAGTATGAAACATTAGATCAGTGAAATGCTGCAATACTTAGGAATTGAAAGTCAAACAATCACCTTGTTTCAATTCACTGTACATTTATATAAAACTAGAGGCCTGGTGCATGAAATTTGTGCACTCAGGGGGGGAAGGGGTCCCTCAGCCCAGCCTGCGCCCTCTCGGACATCCTTAGCTCTCAGTGGTGAGAATGAGGTGATGAATAGAAGGGGAGCTTTAAGAAGAACAAGGAATATTTAAAATAGCCTTGGATACCTGGGTGGAAAACTTACAAAGGCAACACAGAGGTGCCAGGTGCTTATATCCTAATCAGAAATAGAAAGCAATTGTTGGCAGCTTTGAATTCGTTTACTGTTTTACCACTTCAACAGCTGAGCATTTTTGTTCTGTATGCTTAATTACATCCAGTTTGGAATAGACACAGTATGTTCTAAATGTGACTTTGAAATTTTAATAGAAAATGAAGCATCTCTATTATTCTTTCGTAAAGAAAGAAGCAAATGGCGTTTCCAAGGTTAGCCGGCCTTACCCATGCTGGCGATGATGCTGTGCACAGGCAGCCGCGAAGGCCCGTGGTAGAAGGACCGCGAGAAGCTGCTCTTTTTCTGCTGGTCTTGGTTCTTAAACGCTGAGTTCTCTTCCTTGGTGATATTAATATAGAAACACACATCCGTGGCGTTCATAATGTACCGGGGGCCTGGGTTCAGAAGAATGTTTTTATTATCCTCCCTCCTGACACCAATCAAGCAGACACCGAACCTGGACATAAAAAAGAAGATGGAAGAGTTTTCAGAATTGTAACAGGGGCCCCGTTTTGTTCCCTTACGTTTGCACATGTAGGAAAATACATCAACGCTGCTAGGGCAGCGGGGAATACAGCCCCCCCAAATCATCAGGGGAGTATTTGCGACTCAGAGCACCAAAGGGGGTCGCAAATGTTGTAGAAGCCTCTGTCTTAACCCTTTTCGGTCCAACCTCGAGGCTGACTCGACAGACCAGGCGCTAGGAGCCGGTCCAACGTCGAGCAATAAGAACATTAAAAAGTTCAACATTCAATCCCGCCAATTAATTTGGACCAGACTGTTGGAATTCCAGAAATAACATTGGGCCGCAAAGGGTTAAAGGTCTGAGACAGTCAGATGTCACTTCCACTCCGGAAGCAGCGGGAACATACTTCTTGTGTGCGTGGAAGGAGGCGTACGTGAAACTCTTCCCTTCGTACTCGGCGAAAAACGCGCTGTCCTCCAGAGTGATGTGGTACACCTCGTTCCCCGAGCACCTGCCGTAGGTCTTCTGCCACTGCTCGGGCGACTGCTGGCCCTCCCTGCAACACAGGCACACACATCCACACACAGAGACCATGAGCGCAGGCACAGGGAGCGCAGCACCCAGCCCTCCCTTAGGCCCCAACCCGTCTAGTGTGAGCAAGGCTCCTTCCCCCTGATGGGCAGCCAGTGGCCTGAGACCCTGTTGGTCTGGGAATAGGGTCTGGTAAGTGGGGGTTACCCCTCCTGCTGAGCGAGAGGAAGCAGCCTCTTTAGCCTGGAGCCTCCCAATGCCAGGTCACAGAGGGCTGGACCCGGCCCCCAGCTGTCTGCGGGAAAGTAGCTCAGATGGTTTGTGTGTTCACCCAGGACCCCCCTGGCCTTCCCAGCAGTTGGTTAATGGTTGAGCCTGATTGCAGGGCAGTGGTGCTGTGGTGGGCGGAGCAGGGGGCACTTCCTGTTCTGTGTTGAGAATTCAATGCAAATGGGGCCTCTTTCTAGAAATGTCGCCGTCAGCCTCGCTGGGGGTTGGCCTGTTTCATGCTGCACCTAAACATACCCTGGGGCAGGGGTTTCATCAGAAAACAGTCCTTTATCTCCTTTTCACTTCCTTTTTTTTTTTTGGTTAATCCTCACCAGAGGATATTTTTCCATTGATTTTTAGAGACAGTGGGAGAGAGAGGGGAAAGACAAAGAGAAACATCGATGTGAGAGACACATCAATTGGTCGCCTCCTGCATGCACCCTGACCAGGGCCCAGGCTGGGGGAGGAGCCTGCAACCGAGGCATGTGCCCTTGACCGGAATCGAACCTGGGACCCTTAGGTCCACAGTCCAGTGCTCTATCCACTGAGCCACACCAGCTAGGACTTCCTTCCCCTTCTTTTTCACTGATAAAGCGCATGCGTTTTATTTCCTTAATCATCATTTTTCTCGGAGCAGGGACAGTGGATGGGAGCATGTTGCTCATACCGGGCTTTGAACCCTGAGCCTCCACCAGCCACTTTGCGCATCTCTTAGGTCCTTTATTGACATCATTTTCACTGAGCACCGGGCTGGGCTGTGAAAAACATTCTAGAAGGTGTAAGAATGAGTAAGAAGTGTTCTCTACCTTGACTGCAGCTACATCCGGCTCAGCCGGGAGAAATAAACACATAAAAGGACTGTGCTAGAGGCTCTGGCAGAAAATAACAACATTCTGTGTGGATCCAGAGGGGGAATCACAGGAAACGGGGGGGGGGG